ACAAGCGCGCACGCACATGTGTGGTGACAGTCTTGAGAAGTGTACTAGATGGGCCTGGCCTCGTCTCATGTGTTGGACAACACTCACACGCACGTGCGAACATAGGCACGCACACACACACACACACACACGCACACACACAAAGACCGTAAACTCAACAACAGGTCTTGTTGAGACCGTAAATATCAGCACACACACACACACACACACACACACACACACACACACACACACACACACACACACACACACACACTCACTCACACACACACACTTACACTCACACTCACACTTACACACACACACGCACACACACACACACACACACACACATTCCCGGGGCCCGGGTTCGATTCCCGGTCGAGGCAGAAACAAATAAGCAGAGTTTCTTTCACCTGATGTCACTGTTCACCTAGTAATAAATAGGTACGTTGGAGTTAGACAGCTGCTACTGACTGCATCGTGGGAATGTGTGTGTCAGATAAATATATGCAGTAGAGGATAGAGGATAGAGGGAAATATGTCGGTAGTCAATACATTAGCCAAACGACAGTTAGAAAGGCGGGGTCCAAGAGCTTGATCCTGCAGGCACAAATGACAAATATGAAATAAACACATACATGCATCTGGCAACTTTCTTGAAGTCAAATGTACTCGCCTATTTGTGCTTGCGGGGGGGATGAGCTTCGGCTCTTTGGTCCCGCCTCTCAACTGTCAACTGGTGTACAGATTCCAGGGCCTACTGGGCTATAATATATCTACATTTAGAATCTGTGTATGGAGTCTGCCTCCACCACATCACTTCCTAATGCATTCCATTCGTTAACTACCCTGAGGGTAATTAAATATACCATGTGTCAAATACACCATGTATCTGCTTCGTGAAAGTGTCAAATACTCCATGTATCTGCTTCGTGAAAGTGTCAAATACACCATGTATCTGCTTCGTGAAAGTGTCAAATACACCATGTATCTGCTTCGTGAAAGTGTCAATACACCATGAATCTGCTTCGTGAAAGTGTCAAATACACCATGAATCTGCTTCGTGAAAGTGTCGAATACACCATGTATCTGCTTCGTGAAAGTGTCGAATACACCATGTGTTGACGTCAGCATCATGAAAGAATACATTATGTTATAGTATCTCCCATAGTGACTGACTTCCCCCTTGGGTTGAGATATACTGAATTCTGTAACTATTATCTGTATACTGGAGCACTTGATGATATACTGCACCTGTACTCATCATTTATCATGTAATGCACCAGTTATGTAATGAGTGTGACGGAATTATAAGTTGAGCTTGTAAAAGCACCTTAATCACCTTCTGTGGTTGAGTGCTCAATAACTTAGTATGTACTGAAGCAGTTCTCTTGCTCCGTGAGTGTAGCCGACAAAAATAAAATTATATATTATATTATATATATATATATATATATATATATATATATATATATATATATATATATATATATATATATATATATATATATTTTATCTTCCTTCATCAGAGTAAGATAGCGAGTCACTCTCAATCTTGCTCTGATGAAGGCGAATTAAGCCGAAAACCCGTTCAGCATTTCTCTAATTCTTCACATTTGAGTTTTTTCCCATATATATATTTTTTGTTCATGCTGGATAGAAATATAATTTACCTTTGTTAAAAGCACTTCAATCACCTATTGTATTTTTTTATGTAAAATTTGCATGCCCGTTTTGGACAGAAAAACGGAATTTGGTCATAAAATCACTTAGAAACTCGCCTAGTATATTAATATTCGTATAATTACTTCATGAAAGTCAAGATCTGATTACAGTTTAATGAGTACTATTTGTATATGATTTATGATGATTCGATATCGTATATGATGACGCTTTTATTGTGCCAAGATAGCAATCTAGTGGTTGGAGTTTGAACCCTTCCATATCATTCTCAAACATCTATCCAAATATATTAAATATATATCTTCATGTCTACATGTGTGTGTGTACCCACCTATTTGTGTCTGTAGAATCGAGCTGTAGCTCTTAGACCCCACTTTTCTGGTTAGAACCCTTTTAAGAGTGTGTGTGTGTGTGTGTGTGTGTGTGTGTGTGTGTGTGTGTCTGTGTGTGTGTGTGTGTGTGTGTGTGTGTGTGTGTGTGTGTGTGTATGTGTGTGTGTGTGAGTGTGTGTGTGTGTGAGTGTGTGTGTGTGTGTGTGTGTGTGTCCGCAAGACAGACAAAACAACCCTTAAGAAAGGCTTAATAAACATCATCCCTGACCTTAGCAGCAAAGCTTTGGTCTTGCCAAGTCTATTAAAATAACAACAAAAAATATATAAAAGTATTAACTAAATTGGGAAAAAATAATATATTTTAGTTTTTAACAATCAGAGTGTAAAGATCACTTTGTCATCTTTGCTTCCCACGCTCTGGGCCTCACACTGGCGCTTAACTCCGACGGCCGACACAGACGGAATGTCTAGGGAGAGGTGAGACAGAGAGAATGTCTAGGGAGAGTTGAGACACAGAGAGAATGTCTAGAGAGAGGTGAGACAGAAACAGAATGTCTATGGAGAGGTGAGACAGAGATGGAATGTCTAGGGAGAGGTGAGACACAGACGGAATGTCTAGGGAGAGATGAGACACAGAGAGAATGTCTAGGGAGAGGTGAGACACAGACGGAATGTCTAGGGAGAGGTTAGACAGACAGAATGTCTAGGGAGAGGTGAGACACAGACGGAATGTCTAGGGAGAGATGAGACACAGACGGAATGTCTAGGGAGAGGTTAGACACAGACAGAATGTCTAGGGAGAGATGAGACACAGACGGAATGTCTAGGGAGAGGTTAGACACAGACAGAATGTCTAGGGAGAGGTGAGACACAGACGGAATGTCTAGGGAGAGATGAGACACAGACGGAATGTCTAGGGAGAGGTTAGACACAGACAGAATGTCTAGGGAGAGGTGAGACACAGACGGAATGTCTAGGGAGAGATGAGACACAGATAGAATGTCTAGGGAGAGGTGAGACACAGAGAGAATGTCTAGGGAGAGGTGAGACACAGACAGAATGTCTAGGGAGAGGTGAGACACAGAGAGAATGTCTACGGAGAGGCGAGACGGAGGGAAGAAATTTTGACGAGAGAAAGAGATAAAGGGAAGACTGTCTGGAAAAATGTTTTCCGTCTATATGCAATTGTGTCTGTCTATATGTTTGCCAGTAAAACAAAAAAATAAATATTGTTAATTATTTATAACTCTATTACTCTCTCTCTCTCTCTCTCTCTCTCTCTCTCTCTCTCTCTCTCTCTCTCTCTCTCTCTCTCTCTCTCTCTCTCTCTCTCTCTCTCCCCTTTCCCTTCCCGCCCTTCACAAAGGAAATCGTACCTCAGGTTTATCCTCCGGGTCGTTCGCGAGCGCCAGTAATGGATATACAAAGACATCGTTCGTGACTGCAAGGCGGAGTGGCGCCGCCCTCTACCAGGAACGACACGCGGATCTGTTATGTCTCTCTCTCCCTCCGCCTGATGGAGCGACATGTCGCTGGCAAGGAGGGGAGGGTTGGGGGGTTGATGGGGTGATGGGGGTGTGGTGGGGTGACCTTGTTGTTATGGGGGTGTGGGGACTTGGGCACGCGCTTAGAAATGCCCTGTTTAATACCCATGACGATTTCATTCTTCTAAACCTCACTTTGCAAACTGTTCACTCTTTCAAACCCTCTTAACACTCCTGCAAAATGTTTATTTCAAAATCTGTGCGCACACACACACACACAGAGACACGCAGTGTGTGTGTGTGTGTGTGTGTGTGTGTGTGTGTGTGTGTGTGTGTGTAAGAGAGCTACCTATCAGTGACTTTTGGGCACAAAGTCCAATAGACTCCGGAACCTATACACCAGTCGATTAAGTGTTGGGAGGCGGAACCCAAGAGCCGTCGTTCATCCCCTACAAATACAACTAGGTGAGAGAACCTTAGCATGCCCCCAGTACATGTATTATGTCTCGCACTCAGCTGTTATTATGTATATATATATTTTTGTTTTGCCTTCACTGACAAAATGGAACCAGTTTTTTGTTTTCATTCTAACATAACAGAACACGTGGATACGGAAGGCCTAAGATACACTGGAAAAACTTGGCCGTACAGTAAGGAGCTTCTCGGCCGAAGTGCTACTTTGGGGCAACAAGACAAGTTTTTGAGTGTGTGTGTGTGTGTGTGTGTGTGTGTGTGTGTGTGTGTGTGTGTGTGTGTGTGTGTGTGAGTGTGTGTGTGTGTGTGTGAGCGTGTGTGTGTGTGTGTGTGTGTGTGAGAGTGTGTGTGTGTGTGTGTGTGTGTGTGTGTGTGTGTGTGTGTGTGTGTGTGTGTGTGTGTGTGTGTCTGTGTGTGTGTGTGTGTGAACGAGAGCGAGAGAGAGAAACTCATGTAGCAAATATGATAATAGGAAAATTAAGTCTGAAGTTTGTTCAATAGAAAACCATTAATCAGGCAGGGCCCAGGAGCTAGCAGCTCGATCCTGCAAACACAAATAGTAAATAAACACACACACACAGTCTTGTCTCAATTAGATCATTCAGATGTGTGTGTGTAAAATTATTATGAACGAAACCTACACACTGACCTTACGAAAGGTCAATGATAGAGTACAACTCCCAGCTGTGATTACGTGAGGTTAGTTCGTGCTCCCTGTGACTGTCACACTGATTGAAGTGATTGAGTGATTTAGATTAATCCACCCAATCTGTGATTTTTTTCGCAGTAGTAGTAGTAGTATTAGTAGTAACAGTAGTAGTAATTGTAGCAGAAGCTAAATTTAACTGGTGATTGTAATGTAAATAACAGCTGTTGTTATTGTTGTTCTTGAAATAACAGTACAGGTTGTAGTTGTTTTTGTTGTAGTTTTTTAAATAATTGTTGCTTTAATTGGTTTTGTAATTGATGTAGTATCAGGTGGTAATTGTAGATGATATAAGTACACTTGCGGTCAGCATTCTATGTTTTCTATTAGATCTCCATAATGACTTTCACATCTAGACAAGGTGAAACACTCTACGACAAGATGGAACACTCTGCGACAAGATGGAACACTCTGCGACAAGGTGGAACAATCTACGACAAGGTGGAACACTCTGCGACAAGATGGAACACTCTGCGACAAGGTGGAACACTCTACGACAAGGTGGAACACTCCACGACAAGGGGGAACACTCCACGACAAGGTGGAACACTCCACGACAAGGGGGAACACTCCACGACAAGGTGGAACACTCCACGACAAGGTGGAACACTCCACGACAAGGTGGAACACTCCACGACAAGGTGGAACACTCTACGACAAGGTGGAACACTCTACGACAAGGTGGAAAAATCTATGACAAGGGGGAACACTCTACGACAAGGTGGAACACTCTACGACAAGGTGGAACACTCCACGACAAGGTGGAACACTCCACGACAAGGTAGAACACTCTACGACAAGGTGGAAAAATCTATGACAAGGGGGAACACTCTACGACAAGGTGGAACACTCTACGACAAGGTGGAACAGTCTACGACAAGGGGGAACACTCCACGACAAGGGGGAACACTCTACGACAAGGTGGAACACTCTACGACAAGGTGGAACACTCCACGACAAGGGGGCACACTCCACGACAAGGGGGAACACTCTACGACAAGGTGGAACACTCTACGACAAGGTGGAACACTCCACGACAAGGTGGAACACTCTACGACAAGGTGGAACACTCTACGACAAGGTGGAACACTCCACGACAAGGTGGAACACTCCACGACAAGGTGGAACACTCTACGACAAGGTGGAACACTCTACGACAAGGTGGAACACTCCACGACAAGGGGGAACACTCCACGACAAGGGGGAACACTCCACGACAAGGTGGAACACTCCACGACAAGGTGGAACAATCTACTACATAGTGAAACCATCAATTGGAAAGAAAGAGCGACCAACTGCATAGTGTTACCACAATAGACAAGATGAAACCTTCTTCATCAGGGTGGAACAACGTACATCATTGTGGAACAATCAGCGGCATAGTAGAATCATCTACGGTGAGGTAGAACAATCTACGACACAGAGAAATCATCTACTCACTCTGCTGGCAGTGTACGATGTAGTGCGGGTACAGAAACTAATACCAATATATAAACGTTTGGGGCCCTGGTAATATTCGTATAGAATACGGATCAATCGTACACAAGACGGTTCCCCAACGGATTTTAAAACCTTCCTACTGTATCAGAACCTAACTTAACCTAACCTAACCTAACCAACCTGAAACCTAACCAAACCTAACCCAACTGAACGTAACACAGCCTATCCTCAGCTTATCCGTCTTAAGCTTACGATATGTAAGGTTTTAAACAAGCATAAAGTGAGCTTAGACGAAATGGTAGCCAGCTTTAATTAGGTCTTTGGCTTATCTTTTGTCTCTCTATCTCACTCATCTCTTACTCATTTCCTTTCCTACCCTTATCCCTTTCCCTTCTATTCTCATTCCTCTTCTACCCTGTTCCGGCCCATACTCGTATCTCCAACTCCTGTTCGTCGCATTCTAGACCCCTCTGTCTCATCTGTTAACACCCATCCTTTTCATCTCCTAGCCCCGGCTAGTCTCCTCCCTCACGGCTAGTCCGCCCAGCAGGAGGCCGACGCCCTTGGATTCTCCCCGTCTACAGCACCAGCAGGAGGGATGGGAAGGGGAGGGGCGAGGCAGGACTCTGGCAGGAGGGAACTGGTGCAAGGACATCATCTCCCTTGCAGGATTTCCGGAGGGTGTGGGCTAACGGGATTACACATTCTGGTTTTTCTTGGCTGGTGGTGGTGGGAGTGTGTGTGTGTGTGTGTGTGTGTGTGTGTGTGTGTGTGTGTGTGTGTGTGTGTGTGTGTGTGTGTGTGTGTGTGTTCATCTTAGAGACGAGGTAACTTGATTCCCACTTTGAATAACTTCTTTACTGACCGAATCCCCTCAAAGTGCTCTGTATATAATTATTCTGCTGTTCATTCCTCTCTTCAGCTTGGTCACGTTCTGTTTCATAACGCGTTTTGTCTCTTATCTCGGAGCTCTTTCTCGTTTAATTGTGTGTTGAGTGAGGTTGGGGATTGCAGGCCGGGGCTGCATACTCGAGAGTGGCTCTCATGTATGTTACTATAATGTTATGAAGGCTTTCATGTTAAGGTCCATGAGGGCTCTTGTGTAAAGGTTCCTGAAGGCTCCTGACAGCTCTCTTGTAAACACTGTCTCTCTCACAGCTCCGCCTCTAATTCTAGAACTTGACTTATACTCGATACTTTCAGACCTACAAATTTTAGTACTTTCTCAATCATCGTTCTGTGCCTTTTCAGACACTAAGGCATCCACCTAAATATATTTCTTAACCGTACAATGCGCACTCAATCACTCTTCGACACTCGAAAATGCGTTTCAAAAGTCAAGTGCACTCACCCACGTGCGCGATTATATCATCTTCAAGCACGCATGCGTCCTCACAACATATAATCTCACACTTGAGTAATTGCGTATGCGTCAGTTTCACGCATGGAGGGCCGATTAAGTCACGTGTTCTTCATCACGAACGCACAGAGGGATAAGATGGATAATGCCGCCTTACGCCACAAACAGTATGATAGAACGCTGGTTTGCATGCTGTGGCAGATGTTCCGGGCTGTATGAATTAAGCAATATGAATATGCTTACATGTGTATGTACAGGGATATATAAATATATATTATATATATATATATATATATAAGTTTGTGAGGGTACCACCTCTGGTGCCAATGTGGGGACCCATAGCCTCGGAGAAGAAAATAAAAAGTATTCAGAGGAGACCTTGTGGTCTCTCACTGAACACTAATATTATCTTCTCCTACCACCCCCATTCTTTTGTATGTACACATATATATTTACTTTATTTTGTATGTACACATATATATTTACTTTATTTTGTATGTACACATATATATTTTACTTTATTTATTTATATATATATATATATATATATATATATATATATATATATATATATATATATATATATATATATATATATATATATATGTATATATATGTGTATATATATATATATATATATATATATATATATATATATATATATACAGAGGCTGTCTATATATATACAGACTCCCCTTGCTATCTTATTAAACACTTGATCAGCTCTCAAGGGATTTCTTTAATAATACGTCTCGTTAATATAATTCTATAAAGAGAGAGAGAGAGAGTTTTTTCCCCCATTTCCAAGGCAGTTCACGTCTGTTATCATCAATGGCAAAGCTCAGAGTTGATATCGTGGTCAAGAGGAGCACGCTAGCCCCCATTACTGCCGTGTGAGGCTGTAATGATATCATTGCAGTATGACTGCAGATCGGATATCATTGCACCGATCTCTGCCAATCAGGAGTCTTGTTTAGCCACCGGGTTAAATGGAGGGCAAAATGAAGAAAATTCATATTTTCTATGTGGAAAATGTGAGGGGGTTTTATTGATTACAATAGTGGAAAGGGAGAGGGGGAAGGGGTTGAGGGTTCATTGGTTACAAATTGAGGGAAGTGTTGATTGAATGTAAGAGTTCAAATGGGGAAAGATTGACTGGTTACAAGAGTGGAAAAAGAGAATTTATTGGTTACAAGGGTCAATATAACCTGCAATTCGTAATATTTGTCCCCCCATAAAGAATGACGGAAAAGGTGAGAATTGGGAAGAAGTGACAATACAAGCAGAAACAAAGTGCAACTTGGCTCACTTTCAATGCAACATCACAAGATGATGCATTGTGATGAAGTATAAGGTGATGAGTTGGGTGAAAGTATGAGGTAGTATTAGATGAGTTATGAGACCGTATAAGATGACAAGTTATTAGGCAGTATAAGGTGATGAGCTGTGAGGTAGAATAAGGTTATGAGTTATGCACCAATCAACACCTGACGGACGCACTCCTTGATCACTACCTCTCACACCCTCAACTGGCCGTTCCCATCCTCTCATAACTTTCAACCATCCCAAGACACGTGTAGCCCTCCACCTCATTGAATGAGGTGCTTGGTAAATACCTCAGCTCCGTCGCCTCCTCCACTGATCATGTCTAACTTCCAGCGCTGGGGACATAGTTAATAAAAACGTATTATCATGTATATATCATCCTGTTCTTCCCTGTTCTTCATGCCTGTAGTTATCACAGTACCCAATGTATACCTGGAATAGGTTCTGGAAGTTCCTCTACTCTCCATCCCCTAAGACCGGTAGTTATGCCTGAAGGAACCACCTAAATGTCAGTCCTGCATACGATGATGTTCTTGCATTCCAGCCGAATGCACACTGGATAAAAATAAACCGCAGTTTAACGGGTCGTGAATCTGGGAGGCCGGGGTTTATAAACCTGCACAGCAACCAAGGCCACTGTGGGCAAGGCCTTTCATCTGACAGATTCTTTGTCCTGCAAGGGGGGTGTTGCCGCCGGTGAAACTGGTTGGCGCGAAGAATTGGCGCGAAGAGTTTGGCGCGAGGTCTTCCAGTATCGAAGACCAGTTTTCTGGACTGCTATTTTTAAACTGTAAACCGGACCGCACCCAACATCTTGTAGCAGATGAATACCCCCGTGGGGTCTTCCTTCTCTCCTTGGAGCCTCTGGTTTCCAGGCAACTTCTTCAGAGGTTCCTTGTCACCATGGGGGTCTAGTTTTCATGTAGTTACTTCAGGAAGTCCTTTGTCTGCATGGAACCTTGAGTTCTAAACACAGTCTCTTATGTGACCTTCATTATTTTTTATGGGTCTGGATGCTTCTTCCTGGCCCTCTGGGGTTCTTGGCCCTCTAGTGTTCTTGGCCCTCTGGTGTTCTTGGCCCTCTGGTGTTCTTGGGGTTCTTGGCCCTCTGGTGTTCTTGGGGCCTCTGGGGTTCTTAACCCTCTGGTGTTCTTGGGGCCTCTGGGGTTCTTGGCCCTCTGGTGTTCTTGGGGCCTCTGGGGTTCTTGGGGTTCTTGGGGCCTCTGGGGTTCTTGGCCCTCTGGTGTTCTTGGGGCCTCTGGGGTTCTTGGCCCTCTGGTGTTCTTGAGGCCTCTGGGGTTCTTGGCCCTCTGGTGTTCTTGGGGCCTCTGGGGTTCTTGGCCCTCTGGTGTTCTTGGGGCCTCTGGGGTTCTTGGCCCTCTGGTGTTCTTGGGGCCTCTGGGGTTCTTGGCCCTCTGGTGTTCTTGGGGCCTCTGGGGTTCTTGGCCCTCTGGTGTTCTTGGGGCCTCTGGGGTTCTTGGCCCTCTGGTGTTCTTGGGGCCTCTGGGGTTCTTGGCCCTCTGGTGTTCTTGGCCCTCTGGGGTTCTTGGGGCCTCTGGGGTTCTTGGCCCTCTGGGGTTCTTGGGGCCTCTGGTGTTCTTGGGGCCTCTGGTGTTCTTGGGGGTCTGGTGTTCTTGGCCCTCTGGTGTTCTTGGGGCCTCTGGTGTTCTTGGGGCCTCTGGTGTTCTTGGGGCCTCTGGTGTTCTTGGCCCTCTGGGGTTCTTGGCCCTCTGGGGTTCTTGGCCCTCTGGGGTTCTTGGCCCTCTGGGGTTCTTGGGAGTATTAGCCGCAGCCTCGTATCCACGTAGTTCATCCCACGTGTTCACGACTCTGACACAGGAGATGAGCCTCCATTATGTTCCTGTTCATCAGGGTGTCTAGTTCCTATCCAAGTCCCTCTCGTCCTGTTCTGCTGATGTAGTAACACAAAGGAAGTCTAGTTCTTGCTCAAGATCTAACCCGACAGTTGTCTAAGCATTCATGTGGTCTGTTGAGACCCATTCTCTTGCTTTTTGCTATGAGTATGAGTCTCTCAGATTGATATCGAGTCCGGATATCCCCCAAAATGGGCATCGCAACTTGACATGTTTAGCTCCAGGATAATGACATTTACGTAGCTGCAAGCAAGCGGAATTGCAAATCTAGTTTCCTTCTGAGTTTGGTATACCACTGTCACCTGCTGAGCCTGGTA